CTTCCAGTTCAAGGGGAAGGCGTGCAAGTAGTAGTAGGTTCTTCGACCTAAATGTGGAGAGCATGGAGAAACCATCATCTCCACCAGAAGAACCGCTTCGTTAGCCTGGTGCGGATGGTGCTGAGACTGGACTATTCACTCACCTAGAATCACCGCAATTCAACTCCGATGATGATGAAGTTCCAGGAAATATGGCACAAACTGACCCTCCTGCACACATGTATGAAGCTGATTATGGTGCAATGTACGAGCCAGAATTTGTGGATATGCCTAATCTCGGTGACTATGATATTACTCATCAATAAATAATGGTGAATTATCTTTATGCATGGAGTTTTCAAGCAAAGAAGAAGCGATGATGGCTATCAAAAATTACAATATCCGTAATTATGTTCAGTCTAGAGTCAACCGATCGACGACCGAAAAATATGTATGCTACTGTGCCCGACGCGAAAACGGATGCAATTTGATAGTTCACGTATCGAAAATGAAGAGGAAAAACAACATATGAGAACTAACAGTATACAACGGTCCTCACACATGTTGTGCTGGAGGGGTCAACCAAGATCATCCCAACTTGGACTCTGAAGTGATATGCCAAGCCATCATGCCCATGGTAAAAGCAAGCTCTCATATAGTTGTTGCAGTGTTGATTTCAGCTATACAATCGCAGTATGGGTACACCGTCTCCTATAAAAAAGCTTGGTTGGCAAAACAAAATACCATTGTCAAAGTTCATGGCGAATGGGATGTATCTTACAACGAACTTCCAGGTTGGTTTAGGCTGGTGCGGATGTTGAATCATGGGACAATTGTGCACTTCAAAACCTCCTATGCATACCATAATGATCGAGTTCTTCGCGATCGATGTCAATTCTACCGGGTTTTTTGGAGTTACCCACAGTGTGTTAATGTTGCCAAATACTGCAAGCCTGTGGTCCAGATCGACGAGACTTTCTTGTATGGAAAATACAAACAAGTTTTATTATTGACAGTTGTCCAAGATGGCAATCGCAACATTCTTCCAGTTGCTTTTGCTCTTGTCGAAGGAGAAGATACAGATTCTTGGGTTTTTTTCCTCTGAAATTTACGTGCACATGTTATCACGGTGGCTGCTGGTGCAGCTGAGGATGAACCGGAAGCACCTGCTCTCCGTCCACGAGTCGGGGGACGATGGTGATGTGTCGGTGAACGTCTCTGTCGATGTCGTGGAAAGGTCTGCCCTCATGCATCCTCGGGAAGTAGAAAAGGTTTCCCGTTACTGTTGAACCACTCATAATAATCCTCAGCATACATCAAGAGGTCATCAAAAATGGGCTCTCTACGGGGAAGGCGCCGATGTCGATCCTCCCACAACACGACCCACCCATGATGCCTCACCAGCCAATCTGTATTTGTCTTGCCGCATCTATCTAAGTTATGCAACTCGTCCATATTGCGAGGTGCTTCCGGAATTGGTTGAAAACAACCAAACTGCCGGAGCACGCGATCAGTGGAGTGTCACTCGACGGTCGCATAATAGATCAGAGGGACCATCGCCATCCAAACATCTGATGGACCCCTCAACTCAGGTGGGATCACCGCCCTCACATCATCAGTAGAATATGGCACCCATTCAAACTAAAACAAATAATATATAATTTTTATCAAAATAATAATCTAATTATATAACTATAATCTAAAATCGATTTTTAAACATTAAAATTCATACCTGTGTGCCAGTCTTCTGATCGATTAGCACCCTAATTTTTTCTAAATCATCAGGTAGCTCCTGATGATTTTTCCTATCAGTAAACCACCTATTCAAGGAAAAAAATTTGTTATACGCTGTATAAAATTATTAATATACAAAATCAGTTTTATAATTACGTCAGAAGTAGTGGAAATACGAATTGGTTCTTCACAACAGGACATAAAAAGGGCAATCGATACCATGCCCAAGACTGCAGCAGCAGGAGACATCCGCCGATAGCATTACGTCTGTAGTCAGTGGCTCCACACATCTCCCTGTACAATAAAGCCAAAACTGTCGAGCCCCAACTGAATGATCCGGCGAGACGAAAGTCGCTAAGATGTCGCAACCACATGCAGTGAACTAGGTTGCGCAATTTGTCCGGCATCAGCAACCCTCCTATCAACTACAGTATGCATACCCGTGCATACATCTTAACCTCATCCTCAGAGGCGTCTGCGCTCAACTCCCAAAAATTGGCATCTAACCAATTTAACGGTATCCTACCTCCGATAAAATTTTCCGGGACACGTCCTAGACTATCCCGACACAAAATATTCCAAGAACCGGAAGCTATCCCTGATATCACATCTCCATCCACCGAAAGCCCCAGGTGCATAGAAATATCCTCAAGCGTGATCGTGCACTCTCCTCACGGAAGATGGAATGTGTGGGTCTCCGGCCTCCACCGCTCTACTAAGGCAGAAATCATGTTTGGCTCTATCTTACAATGACCCTGATATCTACCTATGTAACCGAATCCAACCTCTACTAAATACGGCAAGACACGGTTGGGTATCACTAACTTAAGATTCCTAATAAAATGATCTAATACGCGGTCCTTCTCCTAAAAATAAATAATTACAAAAATTAATTCTTACTCTAATAATCATACATTAAATAAATCAATCAATTATTACTAATAATTTAAATTAAATTAAAACGTTAAAATATTACCGTATCATCAAAGTGTCGAGATATTTAATTCTTAATCTAATAATCATGGATTAAATAAATCAACTAATTATTACTAATAATTTAAATTAAATTAAAACGTTAAAATGTTACTGTATCAGCAAAGTGTCGAGATATTTAATTCTTAATCTAATAATCATGCATTAAATAAATCAACTAAATATTGCTAATAATTTAAATTAAATTAAAACGTTAAAATGTTACCGTATCAGCAAAGTGTAGAGATATATGATTTCCATCCGAGCAAAGTAGACTGCCTTCCATTATATAACTGCAAAAGAATTATATTAGTAAAATATTAAATAAAGTAAATACATAATAGTGAAAATATTATAAAATATACCTTAAAAAGATAGAGTATTTGAGAGAAATTTAGAGAATTTGAGAGAATTTGGTGTGATAAAAGTGATTGAGGATGGGGGTATTTATAGGGAGGATGGAGACGTGAAGGGATGGGTATTTAGGGGTATAGCGCGCCTCTTGCACCGCGCTATACCCCACGTGTCAGATACCTAGGTATAGCGCGGATCAGGGGGGCGCTATACCCACGTGGCGCCAGATCACTGTATATCGAGGGGCAGGGGGCATGCTATACCCACGTGGTGCCAAATCAGCGTATAGCGCGGTTCAAGGGGCACGCTTTACTGCTACGAGTGTTAGATCGAGAAATATAATCTAACCGGTATTAGATCAGTAAATATACCGACCACTGGTGATTTATTGGGAAAATTGCCTGTGAATTTTGCCCTTCATTTCGATTTATTATGGGGGAGAAAACCAAGGTTATGGGAGACCAAAATTTGGTTGATGGGCCTATTTAGATTCATCAATAATTTGACTTGTCTTCTCTTTTGTATTATATACTTTTTAAAATTGCATGTATGCTTAGGTTTGATTGTAATATTGTTTAAATGCACTTTTGTTCTAAGAGTCAAGTTTGAATGCAGAATCATTATCAAACAGGTAAAATTTGAAGGTAAAAGTGTGTTTCAACTATGATATATGAGCACCACTCTTTTATTAAAAAAAATTAGAATTAAGTTGTTTTTATAAATTAGGTATTAATTATATGCTAATTATGTTTTTCCCAAGAAAAAAACTTTTAAATTCCTTTTATATTTTTATTATAATTATATTTTTCATTTGTATTTTTTGTAATTTAATTTGATATATGTTAAATATTAAATTATTCATAATTTGAAAATAATTTAAATTAATATATTTTTAATTTGCAATATGATAAGGGACATTTTATCTTTTTTTTTGTTCTTCTGGTTCCAAGGCTTTGCCTTGATTAAATCAGACCGACCCACGTCGCACACTTGCTTTTGGTGGGTGAGTCTCCTAGTGGAGATTTTTTGCTTACACAATGACTCGAAAACCTTGCTTAAGTAATACTATATAATATGTTTAAAATGATTAAATTGTGAATTAAAAAAATTGATGCTCAAAGTAAAATAAATTATGTTATGGAGAAAAAAAATGCTTAAAATGCTTATCCTTACATTATATGTGTATATAGTTTGAAAGGGAACATAAATCCTATCCCTCTTGTTGCTAGTGCCCCTCTTTGTGTCCCACTAATAAAATTTTGAGAGGTGTTGATTTTGATTTTATGATAAATTTTATGTGATCTTCTCAAAAGAGTCACTTTCATATTCTACTTTATCTTCCACCTTTAAACTTATTAAATACAATTCTCGATCCATTAATGAAAGATGAAGAGCATCCTTTGTTTCAGAGCATCGAGATTTGAAAGTATTATTTTTGCATTGTACGCACAGTAAATCAGTTAACAAACGAGATAGAATGGGATTAAAGCAAAAATAACTAATGGATTTGAAGGTAGAAGACGAAGCTATTAGTTAGTATTTAAGTCATGAAGTTCTTTCTCGTATGCGAGTGTAAAATAATTCTATTCGGATTTGGATACCAAAATAAGACGCATTGAAATTTTATCCCCTCGTATAGCACCGACAGATTTGAGCTGTTTGGAATGCAAGGAAAACAAACCATTACCCATGGACATATGATACCTACATGGATTCAGCATTTCAACTAATAATGAAAAGGTACCCATGGAATAGAAAGTAAACATTAGCGTGACAAGCAATGTATATAGACTTGTTAATTCATGATTAAGTCTTTGTCTGAATCCACAACCTTAAAAAAAAAAAAACATCTTTGATCCCCCCCGGAAAAACACAATAAAAAGCATGTGCAAGTGAGGTGTATATATACATCAGCCACTCCATGTTTTACAAAAAAGTTCCAAACAAATTTTGTGTACGATAAATGACTACTAGATTCCCTCTCTCTTATCTCTTGTTTTTATTCAAAACTTTCTCTTCCCGTTAAAAAAACCAGATAAGCCCATATATATAGCAAACTCGAAGAACAACACATCAAAGCCAATGGCAGTCGAAGCTCGTCGTATAGATATTTTCTCTCCTCAGTTAATCACCAACAGGTAGGTGCTTCTTCTTCAACATGGGGTTTCTTTCTTTTTCTTCTTTAACATGATTTTGTTCCTTTTTTTTGCAGCACAAATTTTATCAAAACAAATCAAGGGATGGGAAATCTATACAATACACAGATGGATTCTTGTGTTCATCTGGTTGATTCAATGCAACCATTATATCGATCTTTCGTCTGTGATCCAAATATCTCAGGCAAAACGTTTATCAACAAAGCCGATAGTGGTCTTACTTACAACATGAATGTCCCAGTTTCAGCTCCGAGAAAAAGGTCTAGAGATTCGTTCCACAATGGCTTCGATTCATATTCGGTCCCTCAAAAGACCAACCTTTCTGATGTCTTCTCCCAGATCCAACAACAACAAGAAGATATTGACCGTTTTATCTTTGATCATGTAAGTTCCTTGAAGAAAAAACAACGTTTTCTAATTACAGTCGACATATTGATATAGTTTTATGTTTTTGGATGAATTACAGACGGAAAAAGTGAGGATGGAACTTGAAGAGAGAAGAAAGAGGCAATCAAGAATTTTGATTAACGCAATCCAAGAAGGGGTGATGAAGAAACTGAAGGAGAAAGATGAAGAGATACAAAGAATCGGGAAACTAAACTGGGTTCTTCAAGAAAGGGTTAAAAGCCTGTACGTGGAGAATCAGCTGTGGAGAGATTTGGCACAAACGAACGAAGCGACGGCCAATTCCCTACGCAGCAATTTAGAACAAGTCCTGGCACACGTGCGAGGTGGCGCGTTGGAAGATGACGCGGAGTCTAGCTGTGGCAGCAGCGACGACGAGTGGCGGAAGGTGGTGGCAGCGGCGGCGGCGGAGGATAAGGCGGTGGTTGTTGGGAATGAGGACCGTAAGTGCAGAAAGTGTGGGGAGAAGGAGTCAAGTGTATTGTTGCTGCCATGCAGACATCTATGTCTATGTACGATGTGCGGGTCCAGCATGGAAGGCACTTGCCCTGTTTGTCTTTCTGTTGCCAATGCCAGTGTTCATGTTAACATGTCGTGATAAACTTTCTTTCCTCTTTCCTTTTTTACTTTCCTCATATTTATTAGTGAAACAAAGGAAAAATAATTAATATTCTTATTTATTAATAGATTTTTAATCTATTATTAATTAGTTTAGATCATATATTATAAGTCGATATATTTAATTTAATTTTTCATTTACAATATCAAAATTCGATCAATTGGCTTAATTAAAAATAATAATATTTTATCTCGTTAACAGTAGCAGAATTTGGTGATAGAATTTAGAAGATTAACTTAAAATTTTTAGAAAAATTAGAGGTTTAAAATTTTTAAAAAAAAACTTGAAGGGTTTAATTTAACTTTTTTAAATGGGCTCAACTAAAATTTTTTAATTTTTAAGAGGTTTGATGAGAATTTTTAAAAAATATGGAAAGGGTTAAATTGAAAATATTTAAAATTTTTGAAGAAGAATATAAATTTTTAAAAAATATTTTGGATCAAATTAAAATTTTTAAAAATTATAAAGGTTTAAATTATAATTTTTAAAATTTTTGAGAGCTGTCTGTTGGGTTCTATCACTTCCCATTAGTCCAATTAATTATCTTAATATTATCTGTCACTAAACGCTCGTACTTGACATTCTTGATACTTGAGTTTGTGATCTCAAAAAATAATAATTTTTTTACTTGATTCGTGCAGCTATCTTTCAATTTAAATTATTTTAAGTGGAAACCGGAGCCAATTATCCTAACACTATCTATATATATATATATATAGTATTATAAGGAAAAAGATAAGAATGTAATATCACAAAATTAAGATATATAAATGAAATTTTTTAAAATAATGCACGAGCTTGACCATATTAAAACCAAAGTAAAAGTTGATGTATAACTTCCACCAAATATCTATAATAATTATATTAATAAATAAATTGATTTGTTAATGTTTCCATCTTAGATGTAACAAAGTAAATGAAAAGTGAGAAGTGATAATGAAGAAAGTGGTCCATTGTTTTGAAGATACATAGAACGGAAATGTCCATTCCATGGGGGGTTGAATCCAACAGCCCTCTAAACAAGGCTAGGACGTGCAGAATTATACTGGTGGCGTCACCATAACTCAAACATCATGCTTTTCTTTCTTTCTGTTGTTGCAGCTTCTTAATTGTGTTGGCAGAGAGATGGTAAATCTTGGAGGGTTCAAAGCCGACAAAACTCAGATAAAGAAGAAGATAGGAAAGATGTTAAACCAAAATACTCCAACAATATATAAATTAGAATAATTATTTGAATGAATATTGAGATTAATTTTATCATTGTGTCTATGAAAAGTAAGATTGAAATTGTTATATATTTAAAACACAAGTATACGAGTAAATTGAATTAAAATCCAGGCTCAACCCCAGTAGGTCATCAGTTATATTCTCAAGTTTGGCAACTGGTTTTTGCTTTTGTTTATTAGGGTGTACGTTGCAATTAAGTTGCCACCGGCCCACCACTCCAAAACTTCAACATGTACGAGAGGGAATTATATAGAGCATTTGACCAGGTTTTCTACGTGAAGAATTGATTATTTTACTCATATAAACCCCAAGCAAGAGGGTTAGTAAAATGGGAGAGATGTTCAAGCTACTCCAAACAAAGCTGATGTTGTCAACTGCCCTTTATATTAATCAATGTCAAATGTATTGCAACTAATTAATTGTAATAATATGGTCTATTTCATTTGCATACGCATCAAACTTGGTGGTTTGCCCCTTGCTTAATAAACCCTAAACCTGACATCGGAACTAATTAACTTCTTTTCATCGTTTTCCAAAACGTAGGTCACGATAAACTATATAATAGGTAAATTATACATTTAGTCACCCACTTGTTTTTTTGATTTGTTATGGTCATTCAACTATTTTTAAAAAAATCATATTTAATGTTATGTTTTGGTTCTACTTTGGTCATCTGTTGTTAAAAATAAACAGAATTAGTTACATGATAATTGTTTCAATGATAATATGACATTATTTTATAATGACACATCAGCATTATCGTTAAATTTTTAATAATGAGTGATCGAAACGTAACTTAAGATGTAATTTTCCAAAAAAAAAATTATTGAGGGAGCAAAATTGAACTGCGAAAATAAATGGATGATTAATTATATATAATTTACCATTATATATATATTAAAATATATTCGGTTTCAAATGACAAAACTCAATGAAATATTTTACGACAAGTTGGAAGTGTTGTGAAGAGTTCAATTTTGATGAAGCGTGAAATCACCATTTTTATTTTCATTTTTACTATTATATTATTATTATTATTATTATTATTATTATTATTATCTACAATAAAACCCAAAAAGTTACAAGGTCAAAAATTAAATGGCCCAATGTTGGAAGAACTAGTGCAACTAGGGTTTACATCTTTGCCATCCGTCCCGTCAGCTCCCAGCCGTTAGATCTGGGAGAGATCCAACGATCCATATGCACTCCCAGTTAGGGTTTCACCCTAATCAAGTTTGTTGCATCCGCCACACGAGAGCCGCTTCGACTACCACACACTCCTCCACGCGCCCGAGCCCTCTCACGTTCTCGAGGTCTGCCACCACTGCCCTGAGTTACGCCGGTTAGCAGAAACGACCAAACGTGCCTCGAGGTAAAACATTTTTACCCCTCTCCATCAAGCACCAAAAAGAAAACAAAACTAAAACAAAAACAAAAATCAGAAAACAATCTTACCATTTGTAAGGGGGAGGGGTTCTATAAAATCCCCTCCCAAAGATGTAATATGAGAGTTCGGAATCAATACAAAAAAGGAAAAAAAACACAGTTCATTTCACGGTAATAGTTATTTTTTCTTTCTCTTTTTACTTGATGTTTTTTAATATAACACAAAACAAAACAAAAAACAATGTCGATTTCTCTTACCTGAGACGCTTGGGTTGTCTCCGAGCACCTATGATGTTCGGGAGAGGGTTCCGCCGTCGATGACCGACAGAGGAGAAGCCCTTCAATCTTGCATGTTTCAGATTTTTTCTTTAGGGTTTAAAAAAATGTTTTTAGGGTTTTTGGGCCAAGTGGTTGTTCGATGAGGAAAAAAAGGAAAACAGAGTGACTTAGGGTATTTAGGCTATCGTTTGGCCTCCCGACCACCAAAAATAGTTATAGGAACTCGTCGGAGCATAATAAAACGTGAGGTCAAGGGGGATTTCTGTGAGAAATTGAGAGAGAGAGTCGAGTGTCTCTCTCTTCTGCCGGTTGAGAAAGTGTAAAATGCCTTAGGTTTAGGTTAATTAGGGATTAAGGGTGTTTTATGTAAAGGAAAATGGGAACTTTTTTGTTTAGTCCCTCAAAGTCTCGCACGCTTTTACAAGTTGGTCACCTACGAGGACCGAATTTCATATTTACCATTTTCCAATTGTATTAATGTTGTTATTTTCCCATTTTTTCGTGCTTTATAATTTTGGCTTAATTTCGTTTATGCCCTCCCCGTTTTAGTGTGTTTTTGCACTTGGGTCCCGAGTCTATTTGCCATTCACTCATTCAATTTTGATTTTATTTTAATTTGGTCATTATATTTTAATTGCATGCTTTATTTCATTTTTAATCCTCCACAATTTAATATTATTTCAATTTAATCCTTTGCATGTTAACTTGTTAGATTTTAATTTAATCATATGTTTGATTATTTCTTTCTTGTATTTGATTTATTTAATTGTTTCTAGATATTTAAATTTGCATGACTAATTTATGTTTTTTTACCATTTAATTTAATTAGTTTGTTTATTTTATTTCTTGCTTACATTTAATTCATCCATTTATTTTTTATATTTAAATTTGTACGACATATTTACTTTTTTTTACTTTAATTAGCATTTTTAATTGTCCTTAGATTAGGATCTTCCAATACATAACTTGATTTAGTAATTAGGGTTTTACCTTAGTTTTAATTAGAAAGTAATTTGATTTGAGTTTTCGCATAAAATGTTCGATTACTTGAGTCGATTGCTCGAATCCATAAATTGTTAATCATTAACTAATTTTTAAAGGCTACCTAGTTTAATTCCTTAATATTTAATTAGGACAACTATTAGAGTCTTTTTTAGATTAGTCCCTAAACTTTAGAGTTCTCACATTTTAGTCCTTAAACTTGTAATTAGAATTTTAAATTAACATAATCAATTAGGTTAACAATTAGAGTCTACACATTAGGTTTAATTTCATCTCAGTTCTTTACTTATGGGATGATTCGATTTGAGTTTTCGCAAGAAAATGCCCAATTGTTCAAATCAATTATCTGATTCAATAATTGGTTGATAAAATCAGCTAGGTTTAATATTAGAGACTTGTTTTAGGTTTAGTCCTCTAGATTCTCTAATTACATAATTTGACAACTTTAGGTAGGAAATTCCTTAAATTACCCATCTAGTATGTAATCATCATTTTTAACCCGACCCAAATTATTATTATTATTATTATTATTATTATTACAAATAAATAAAATATTATTATTTATTTACAAACTAAATACCCAACACACAAAACCGGGACCAATTACAAACCCAAAACCCTGGCCCAAACTAAAAAACCCTAGTCTAATACCCAACAACCTAAACTAACCCTAATATATTAAGTCACCATTGTCGCTTTCAAGTTGGTTCCCACATAGGTGTCGATCGTCCAATCGTCGCCGCCACCAAGCCTATCTGAACCAAATCTCATCAGAGATCTCAACAAAACTCGAAAAATATGGACTATTAAAACTCAAATCATCACAGACAGTGATGGTCAGAGAAGCAAGTAGAGATTAGGATTGTTTTATTATTATTTATATTTGTAAAGTTTTGGGTATAAAAACCCGAGAATCAAACATGTAAAAGGGGCTTTCCCTCATTTTTCGAAGTATAAAAAAGGAAATTTTCAAGGTAAAAAAAATGTTTCTTTTTTTTCTTTTTAGCAAGCATTCGAAATAAAAAAAAGAAAAATAAAGTCGAAAAGTTTACCTGAGAGGGGTAGTCGAAGCGAGCGCTTGGTGAGTAGATCGGAATGTTGGTGGGTTTTGGGTTCATTTTTTGGAGTTTTTGAGGCCACCAGAGATAGGAGAACC